CTTAGACTCATTTAAACCCGAGCTGCTAGGCAAGGGCCAAAATGAGGTCTTTGAAGGGCTCGATGGCCAAAACATATTTATGCCCAAGAACATAAACTCTATTGATATTATTATCACTTAGGAGGGTATTGAGAAACTGAAAAAATATTGAAAAAATGACAACAAAACAGTCCGAACAATCATGCGAGCATTTACATGTACAAGTTGAATTCCTTTATTTGTTTTCCCTCAATGAAAATATGCAATACATCAAGCGAAGCTGGCTAGAAATTACAAAATCTTGGCATGTGAGTTTTCAAGAATTGTAACAGACACAAAAGGAAAGTTCAGGTTAGCTTATTTGTAAGTGTTGAAATTCATTGTATAATTGCCAAACTGTCAGCAAGCTAAAATACATTTTAGCCCACCAGATTCACCACTTTAGCCTGCAAAATGTGCCACAATGCTTGATGAAGTGATAATAATTGCTCTTATTGATATTCTAGCTGCAGTACATGTAGGTTGAATCTCCCCACCTACATGTATGCCAACAAATTGAAGAACATGAAGGATCGGCAGTCAGAAACCATATAAGAGAGCAAAATGATAGGAAGACAGATGACATTGCACAAAGTTTTAAAATTTTTAGAAAGTGTCAGAACAAATTTGACTGTCTTATTTTCAAAGCATTTTTTATCAAAGAACTGAAACCAACACTACACAAACACTGTGATTCAATCTGTCCTAAATTACTTGTTTAGATCAGTGCTTTAAAAGCTTATTAGTATTGTTACATGTATACACTGTTATATTGGCTGCCGCTGCTCTAAGGAAGTTAACTGAGTTTATTTTTTAGAAACCTGGTTACATCCCAGATAACTTAACTCTGTTAAAGGTTGGTTATGATGAGACAAGGGGTTATATTTTATGAGTGGCCACACTGTGACTGATCAATTCTGATTTAGGTTATGAAGTGGCTGAACTCGATTGACATTATGAGATAAACCAACAAAATTACAGACAAGTAAAAACAAACGATATAATTTCCTGACGTTTCAGTGACCTCATGGCGCCATTATCAAGGGTACAAATGAGAATTAAATTAACAAATGCGAGTTCAAGAGTTATAACTAATTTACATAGCGGAGGTGGCTACAGAAATACTTTAGCATGGATAGAATCCGTTTGCACGTTCAAACTCGGTGTTAATTGTTTGATGTAAAGCATCTCGTTGACAAGACAATCGAATTTGTTCATGCATTTCTTGAACTCGCATTTGTTAATTTAATTCTCATTTGTACTCTTGATAATGGCATCATGAGGTCACCGAAACGTCGGGAGATTATATCATTTGTTTTTACTTGTCTATGTATTACTAAATCATTATTAATATGAAAATTACAGACTTTGAAATTATTTTCTTGATTCTTTTTCTTTTTTTCCATTTCCTTCAGTTTCTCTACACTCAAGGTAGCAGTCCCTCTTCTTTGACTTCCTTTTTCCTCCACTGTACAGAAATTTCCAAGGCAGTTCTTTCGAACATGATGTTGATTTTGTGTAGACATCAGAATGTCCTCTATCGCCATTGAATGAATTGTCCTCAAATTTGACTCTATCCGAGAAATTAGCAATGATTTGAGGAAATCAACAGGAATCCTACCATACATGACTTTTATACCCTGGCTTTTATAGCGTGCACTTTCAAATGAACACCGAGTCCTTTCAAGCACTTTCCGTATCCTTTCGCCATTTATAACAAAAAGAAACACTTGCTTCCGAGCACGGTACTGATAGAGAAGCGTGGATATTATGGCGTATAGGAACAGGGAAAAGCTATCGCTCCACAGCTGTTATGTTTGGAAAATGCACTGCATTTAAAATTGTCCACGAAGTCGTTCTTTCATCTGCAAGCCTGAAGGTTCCTTGCAAACTTGACTGATCTGGTGTAGCTGATGCACATGAGGAAAAAACTAGAAACCCGCCATAGAAATGTAACTGTTTCAAACTGTTGTTTTAACTGCTGTTACCACTCACCACATTCAGTAGAAGATTATGTACTTGTTTTGTGCATACATGAACAGACAGACAAACACACTGTCTGTTATGACTGACTCACAAAAATGCCAATGCACGGTACTGCATAAGAGACCATTTTTAACCTTAGTTAGTACTAGTTTTTTAATCCTACAATCGTGGACAAAAGTCCTTGGGACACTTATGGAATGTAACGGATTATCTGTGTTTTAGAACTGAAGTATGAAGAAAACGCTGCTATATCCTTTATAAATGGGTTGCTGTCCCCCCTTCCCACCTAACACAATGTTGAAAATCAGTTGAAATTGCACCTACTAATTTTCAACATTGTATGGGGGGTGGGGGGCGAGGTTAGGCAGGTGAAATTGTATTTGCACCTGGCGTGTACGCAAAAGCACCAAAAGTGCAAATTTGTCCCAAGACTTTTGTCCTTGATTGTCTGAATTTCAGTTGAGAAATAAAATGTCACTTTTCAGTGGTTTTTCACATTCTAAATGTGTTTTTTCTAGAGGTGTAAATCAGAATTTGTTCTATCATATCTCAGACTCGCGCANAATAAAATGTCACTTTTCAGCGGTTTTCCACAGTCTAAATGTGTTTTCTCTCGACTCTGTGAATAGATCGTAATACAAAGATTATTTTTGAGCTATTTTCTGGTTTATTTAAGCTTATTTTTTTCTTTTCAATTTTTTCCAATGCAAATGCGTGGCGTAAATCGGAATTTGCTCTATCTCATACTCGCGCGTGCGGTATTTGAAAGGACACGCATGGTTAACGCTCAAGGCAGCAACGAGCATAAGGCATTATAGATTATTGTGCATACGAGAAGAATTTCTGTCGAACAGCTAGTAAAAGTCTTTTTTTTTTGAAGGAAAACGGAAGATTTTCACCCCGGGAAGTTGCGCGGAAATGTCAAATGTCGAAGTCATCTGTATCATGAATATGATACATGCAGTATTAAAGCAGGCATTGTGAACTATAATTTCGTCCAAAGGGTACTGAACCAAATATTAGCAAGTTGTTTCCTGCCAGTGGAAGTCATTCCTTTATTTATTTACGAAACAATACTGTGTGACTTTTTTTAGTGTTGTGGACACTTCTTATTTCCATAACTCAACAGTTCTCAGCAACAGTACTCACTTTAAAACCTTAAAATAATTCTACCTACTTATTTCCGAAAGCTCACATTTAAGACATGTCGAAGTGAAATGTGTTTGTTAAATCGATCTTTCTAAACCTTTATAGCTGGTAAAAGCTTAATTTTGAGCTCTGCAAGCACGGTACTCACTTTCCATTTGTTAAGAATTGTTTAGAGTCAATTCTTCCATACTGAATCAATTGAGTACCATTGTATTTACTGCCAGCGTGCTGTGACGTGACTTTTGTGGAGCAATTCCGAAACAGTACCATAAATCTCGTGTTGAAAAGTAGTTTCGCTGGTTTTCCTACTTAGTTGATACTTAACATTGACGAAACACTGTTTTTCTTCGCCACTGAGTACCGTGCAATGACCAATAAACGTGACGTCACTACAAAGAGCATAGCGCCTCAGTATACTTAAACGCACTGTAATACCTGTTAAGGTGATCAGTAAGATTGAATTACATACCAAATTTGTCGTTTAAGTACTTGAAGTATCTGCAAAACTGTACATTATAATGTAGACAATTCGTTACGTATCCAAATCAAGCGATGCCGTTAACACTGCCATCACATACAAAAGTTTCTAGATTATTTGAGATCAACACCCTTCCCGATCGGTCCAAAACCACTGAAAAATATGGAAAAGCTGTCTAAAAGTTCTTAGAAATGCCTTTCTCATCTCAGATGTTCACATTCTTGGGTTCTAAATACATTTAGAGTTAAAAAACATCCTGATTGTGTATATTTCCACAAGACGCGAAAATCAGACAATCATGGACAAAAGCTCTTGGGACACTTATGTAATGTAACGGATTATCTGTGTTTTAGAACTGAAGTATGAAGAAAACACTGCTATATCCTTTATAAACGGGTTGCTGTCCCCCCTTCCCACCTAACACAATGTTGAAAATCAGTTGAAATTGCACCTACTAATTTTCAACATTGTATGGGGGGTGGGGGGCGAGGTTAGGCAGGTGAAGTTGTATTCACGCCTGGCGTGTACACAAAAGTGCCAAAAGTGCAAATTTGTCCCAAGACTTTTGTCCATGATTGTAGTTCTAGTTTTATACCTTAGTTTTAGTCTCACATTTTAAGCTTTTATTACTTCTGTATTTTAGACAGTTAATGTACATTTTAGACTTTTATTTTTTTAGCTGCCGTAAACCTGACCGTGCCAAGTTATCAATTGATCATCTTGTGTTTCCAGATCCTAGGAGCTGGGCTCTAACTGTTCTTCATGGTCGACGTTAGAATGAAGCAGAAATTAAAAGTTTTTTAATTGAGATGCATTTATTTAAATAGAAGGGAATTTAATATACCGATTTCGATCAGCTCAGAAACTGTGACTTATTCCAGATGAATGTAAGCTGTGACATGATGATCTGCTAATTTTAGTTCACTGTGTTGGATAGTTTGACTGTTCAGGATAATTGAGAATTATTTATAAATGCAATATATTAATTATTTTTTTGTAAGTCAGTCATTTAAGTACAGCCACAAATCATACATAATATATGTAGTTGTCTAACCTTTAGGGAAACATTTGGAAGTTTTCTTCTGGGATGACTCTGATCTGAAATTCAGAAAAGGAAGAACAGCAATCTCACCGCCCAGGTAATTATGAACTTTATTTTTAATCATTAAAAGGTGTGTTTTCCATGAACAGAGGTATCTCTTCAAGTTATTTTTTAAAAGTGTAAGTTGTACGTTCATCTGATGTAACTATATGCCTGGTGGTTCTGGAAAAATACCTGGTAATTAAACATGGTTTATAGTTTTTTATTATTTTGCTTAATACATGTATTTATTTATTTTTCAGCCAATAATGTTTGATATTCGTAGTACACGTAATCCAGTAAATGTAAATCTAGCCAACAATTTCCGTAGTTAGGATGGTTCCTAGAGTCACATCTGCCTCTGGTCAAACCCAGCCATTCCCCTGCCAATGTGCTCTTGTCACTTGAGCCATATAGTCATACTGTAGTTTCAGATTTCTTGTCTAAATTTTAGGGGATACACTATCCTGAGCGAGCAGTGAACTGGTTCACTTTAAGGCAGACTGAGGCAATTAATCTGGTTAATTGCTAACCCAGATAATTTACCCTGCCAGACACAAACTGACGTGTAGCCATTTTGTCTTTTGCAGCAGTGATACAATTGTGAATGTCAGCCCTTCAGATTTTGATGGTGATGGGTGCCTTGATATTTTGATCTCTACACAATCCCAGACTGCTGACAAGACTATCACAGTGTTTGTGTATTGGGGGAATTCACAAACATTAGGTACACTTGAGCAGCTGTACACCTAGAAATACCTCACTTCTTATTTATTAAATAATATTGTATAATTGCATGCATGTACTGTAGGTTTAACAATGTGCTAATCTTTTTCCATGATCCATGCATTAGTTGGACTATGATATATGTGTCAATGTCAGTTCATACGAGATTTAGCTTTTAAACTTTCAACTTTAACTTAACTTTAAATATTTATTTATGCAGGGCCCCACTGAAGAGCACCTTTTAGTGAATTGAGCTCCCTGTTTAAATATTTTAATCATTATTATTATTATTATTATTATTATTATTATTATTATGAATTCTTCGGTTGGAGTTTTCAGCCTGAACTTGTGCCAGACCTATATTTCACAGCACCTTAAGTTTCTTGTGATAGACCAATTAGCATTATTTTAAACGTGAAGGNGTTCTACAATACCCTCTGGGATCGGATTTGACATTACAAATAGAGCAATTATTCACATAGACATTGCGAACAGTGGAACAATATCAGTTTATAATCCTGCTCTAAACATGATTCCTTGAAATGCAAATACTGGGCCACTTATAAACATATCCCTGAACGCTTCTGAGAACAGAGCATATAGAAACAACAGGAACCATTCAAATTCAATGAATTGTAAATGAGTGGCCCAGTATTCTACAATCTAGCCCCAACCAGTAATAAGCTTCTTAATTAAAGATTCGTCCAATAAAATAGTAATCTGTGAGGTACCAGGACTGTCATTAAGGGCCGTAAGCCGTAACACCTGTTACGGCTGAGTATGCTTGATTTTCCCTCGATGCTACGGGTGAAATTCCCTGTCATTTAGAGAATTCACCCACAAAAAATTAATTTGCTATGGGTGTGGAGAATAAGGCTACAGGTGACTAAAAAATTAATGACAACCCTGGGTACAGTACTAGTTTTTGTTAGATATTTTCATTTTATGGCAAGTAAAGACAGCAAAGACACTTTAATTCACTTACAGATTACCTTTTGTGTATTCAAAGCACCTGCCATTTTGAATTTAACCTGGGCACATCAATGGTGACTGACAAATGAGCCTTGGTCTTCCCAGGGAAGACTTCCTTATATTGCACACCTTTGTGTTTAATAGTCTTGTTGATAATCTTACCATCGTCATTGTGTTAAATGTTTGGTCTTACACCTGTAGATAACAATGGTGCTGTACGCTTGGCAATGAAAGACCAGCCCTTAGTCCTGGAGTAAGTTCTGCAATAGTCAGATGAAATCATTTGGAATGTATTGTGTTCTAAATAGCCTCACACACAAATGACATCACAAAAATGTAACCCCCAGTGTAACTCAGACAAACAAGCCATTCAATGCGCTACTTCTTCAAGAGCAATGTATGGAACAATAGCGCTCGTGAGCACTTTGAACAGTGTGCTACACAAGTGAATGGCCTCTACCTCAAAATGTTAGAGAAAACCCATAACATGTACCTTTATATAATAATAATAAATTACAATAGTACTAATCAATAATTTTTTTAAAATAAAATACGTCAATGTAGAATATTCACAGAACAAAACAATGTGCTACGAAATATTAAACTCCTGAGAGCTGAGAGCTAAGAGTCACTCTGCCAAAATTCTACTGTTCATCCGATAAAATAATTAAACATAATGATACAACAATTGAAGAAAAGGAATTTGATACACCATGTTCATTAACAATTCCACAAGTTTACACTGCAGAAATTAATTTTTGAGTAAATACGACCTAAAAGCTAAATAAAAGTACATGCTCCAATTAAACTCACTTCCATCAATGTTAAAGAAAACAAAGCTTAAATCTAAAATGAATAAAACCAGTATTAAAAATCAGAGTTTTGTCCAAAAAAAGAAAGGAACTAATCGCTCCCTCTGCAGTTTTGACGACAAAATCCGCATTCTTGACATAATAACAATAGTGATAATAATAATTTAATAATGATAATAATAATAATAATAATAATAATAATAATAACAATAATGCTGAGTTTGAAGGAGGGCAGCAAAATATGATGAGCTTCTTATGTATAAAGGCTGTTTATGAATACACTCCTTATGTCCATAGGAGAAAAAATATTTATTTATCATTGTACCCTACATTCAGCTGAGTCACTCACAAGAAAACCAGCGAACCACCAAGAAAGAAATACCATAAAGAAATACTGTAAATCCAATCCAATTTGTTGCCTCAAGGTAATGAAACAGTATTACTGGCCTGCTCTGTCAGTCGCAACCCACTGCAGTGAAATATCCCAACTTCCATTTTCTAAAGGTTTTGGGATCCATCAGACTGTCAGTGTCTCTGCAGCTTTGCAATATTCTCATGCAATTTGGATGAAATTAATTATCCATCTTACAATACCTAATAATAGTAATCTATTTATCAAATGCTGATGATGTCACATACGATGGAAAAGTATTATCTACATTGTAGTTTTTCTATGTTTTGTTTGTTTGTTTGTTTGTTTGTTTGTTCTTTTAGTGCCAATGGTGACCTTTTACCTGACCTTTTTGGTACAGATGAAAGTTCCTCACTCCGGTCATACTGGATTTCAAAAGGGTACTAAGAATGTATCATGACTAGAAAGTAACACTTTTAAACACATTAAAATAATTATTGTCATCACTAAATAGCAGGGAAATATTTTGCTGTAAGTTTGTTTGCCAAAAAGCATTTTTTTATAACCTGCGTGTAAACTTCCAGATAGTTTTAGATTAACTCTTGCTACAGTTTGCTTCCCTGCGATCAGTTGGTTTCTCTTTTGAAAAATTTGAAAATGTTTAATTTTTTTGTGCATATAATTGTACAGATCAAACAGAAGCTTTGATGTACAGGCACAGACCAATTCCAGCAGCAAGTTAGCTCCTGTAAAAGTACCACACTCAAATGCATTCTTAGATCTTAGTGGAGATTTCACTGCAGGTACAGTGCACTCAATGTCTCCTAAATTTTCTGCTTTATTGTTTGTTATTGTGTATACAGTACCAGTATGATGCAATTTGCTGTGTACAGGTGTTATGTTATTGCTGATTCTTACACTGACATTATCTTTTCGCAGAGCAGACAGATATATTTTATTGTCTATGTACAATTATTATAAAATATTATTGTAATTATTAAATTATTAGATTTTTAGGTTAGATTTTTGATTATTGTATATTTAAGAGGACCACAAGTTTATTAGTTGTGTAACTATTAGGTGTTTACCCTCTATAAGTAAAGATTGATTGATTAATTTAATATAAATTGCTTTCTCCTGGATTGTTAGCCAGGGTAACCAGACAAACGTGACTAGCTTATTTAGGGGTTCTCCTAGCAGCACACTTCTTACGCCAAAGAAACTGGCAAGGTGACTCGGCCTATGTGCAGATTTGTATACACATATGTGTATCTTTTTTGTTTCCTTGTCCACACTTGAGTGCAGGTTCTTTGGATTTCATACATGAGACAAAATTATGCCATCCAGGATACTGCATGCACATGTATAAATTTAAAGAATCACTTCTCATTACAAATGTATCTTTCAGCTGAGAACCCCCGGGTGCAAGTTGCATTTAGAATGGTTATTTATTTATTTATTTATTTATTTATTTATTTATTTATTTATTTATTAAGCTTCGGCCTACTATTACACATAAAGAAAAAGAAAAAGAAGAGGAAGCAAAAAAAAAAAAAAAAACAGACAGCAAAACAAAACAAAATGGCCAAGGGAGCCGCTACAGCTTAGCCAATTACAGCGGCCCCCCAACCCCTGGTTGTTAAAATGTTGTGAGCTTACTACCTAAAAAAACCCTATATTGGTTAATGAGATCATGCATCTCTGCTAGGTGTTCTAATAATTAATATTGGTGGATTACCCATTTAATTAGATAGATCTACAGAAAAAAAAAAATTAAAATCGATTTGGCATGTTTCAGATCTATATGTTACCAATGAGGACAATAACGGTGAAGTCTGGATAAATAAAGTAAGTGTACACTGAGATCTGTTCACTAATAATAAAAATGTTGAGAGTTCTTCAATCATGTTGAACAATTTCTTATTGTATTAAGAATTGAAGGAAGGTCATTCAAACATCTCTTGTCACTTTTGAATTTTTTAAAGACCCTTTATACAGAGAAGTATTGCCCAAAGGTTGTCCTTGAAGAATTTCGAAGAATCAAGGGAAATATCCAAAGAATGATACATCTGATAGATATTCCTGTGATCTATTTAACTGCTTGAAAGAGATTATCCCCTTGGTTATGTTGTTGCTTCTGTGATATATTGAATATAGTGCAGCTCTAATTACTAGTTATAACAGAGTTACTAATTTGTTTGTAGGAAGGCATTCTTGTGCAGCCATCTGAATCAGAAATGATCAGGCCTCCAAAAATAACAAAGAAAATAAAACATGTTGGCCAGTCAACATTTGCTGACATTGGCAAGTATCACTGAGTGTGTGCCTTATGGCCAATTTACACGGTACGACTTTGTCGCATGCGACAAGCTTACGGCAGGCCTACGACATAAATTGTTGCATGTAAATCAAACCTACAACTTGCTTACGACTGTTGTGTACATAAAAAAAAATGTCGTAAGACTTTAAAACATGTTTTGAAACACTGCGACAATCGTAGCCAATATCGATAGAAAATTTATTTTGTGGCAAATTTCTACTGAGTAGGAGACGAGGTGAAGCTTTCTTGCGTCAAAATGGCGGACAAACTTTTTGTTGACTGATTCACATGAAGACGTTTCTCGAAAAATACTAAATGGCTTAAAGCGAAAAACATCTCTTTTGACTTTAGAAAGTTTTTTCAAAGCGCAGAACAGCTAAAATATTTTTTTACTGTTTGTTAGAACTTTCGCTCTGAAAACCCAGGTGCAAACTTTTGCATATTTAATTTTGTAAGTGAAAATGTCGTGTACGTGTAAATGGTCTTAAGTCATGTCACAGGCCTGTCGTAAGGCTGTCGCATGCGACTAAGTCGTACCATGTAAATCGGCCCTTAGAGGTTAAATTTTTAACTTTTTGTGAACATGAAGTCCAGGGATGGAGACTTCCCATTGGTGGTAATTTTTCTTAAACATTAATTATGTTGTATTCCTATCCAGTTACAATACAACTTTGATCTTCATTTTCTTTCATCAATTGTGACTGAGTTTGGTCTAGCAAAGAGACGTTCTACGTGTCAATTAAAATTGGTGTCACGAAGACCTTGAAAATTTCTCAGCAATAACACTTTGCCGATTGTTTCACTCAAGCATTCTTTGAAGCAGCTGGAAAACATTAATTAGTATTCCTTAGTATTTTGTTTTGTCAAGCAACTGTTAGTCCCCACATGAGCAAACCTTTACATGGTATTAAAATGTCACATAGCCCATAATTTGATGGTTTTCGTCGGTTTACGTTGGGGATCTTAGTTTTCATAGGATGAAAACTGAGATGAGGTCTTGGGTGTTACAGTAGGTCATAGTTTTAGAGGGTCTTAGCTTTCATGACACCCCAATGAAAGTCACCTAATTGTAGCGTATGTTTTTCAGATGGAGATGGAAATATTGACCTCCTGTTACCAGTGTGTACCACTGACTACTGTGAAGAAAGTCACATTTATGTGTACATGTACTCTAGTGGTCAGGTACATCTTCATTTAATTAATATATACTACATAGCCTTTGTAGCTTGGCGGTTTAAGCAATTTTTTAAGCAATTTGAGTGCGAGTGCACAAAGCTTTTTAACAGTTCTACTCAGTGTACATGTACTGCTGCGAAATTTTAATACCCAAAAATGTAAGAACCAGGGAACCTGCTTAGCCAAGCAAGGTCAAGCAGGTTCTTATATCTGGATTAACGCCCAAGTCGCTAGTGGAGGGAAGGTGCCTACGAAGCCCGGGGGCTGCAACCGCAGTCACATCCCCAAGGCGCTAGAACACCCGACTGGCCTGCCCAACCCGCAACCAAGCCACGAGCTGCCCGCGCCAAGCTCCCTACGGGCACCCGTCACACGACAACACATGTACTAACCAAATATACCGCTGGACAATGTCAGCCCCAGGGCTCTCACGACCATATGANTGAAACCACTGTCGGCGCGGAAGACAACAGAGGTAAGTCCTCCGAATGAAGTCCGGCAGACAAGCTATTGTTGGTTGAACGAGGTGGGTTCGGCATGATGTACAAACCAGCGACGAGCGACTTAAAGACGAACCAAAAACAGGAGAATGGGCGAAGAAACCCCGGTGGATGAATGACGAAATTTCTTTTTATCCCCAACTGGGAACCGCTACACTAAGCCCGCCAAAACTCCACACTATCGGAGTGGCGAGCACACTATCGGTCCAGGTACGAGAGAATGACGAGTGAGTTAAAGACGAACCACGACAGTTAAAGACAAAACACAACAGCGGGCAAGGATACCACGGTTGATGAATGACGAAATTCTTCCCAACTGAGAAACGCTATACTAGGCCAGCCAAAAGGCCAGGCTATCTGAACGGCGAGCACACTATCGGACCAGGTACGAGAGAAGTGAAGATGAACCACAACACGGTGGTGGAGACAGGACGAAACAAAAACGCCATGGGCGACGATCGAAGAACTTCTGTTTTAACTGGGACAGCGACTGAGATAGCTAATGAAGCAATAGCGAGAATGCCGAGAACCGCTAAACTATAATTCAATCCACAACGCCACACTAACAGATCGATGAACACACTGCGAGCACATGGGACGACAACACATGTACTAACCAAATATACCGCTGGACAATGTCAGCCCCAGGGCTCTCACGGCCATATGACTGTTGCAAACGCTACAGAAACGCACCAAACGCTAAACAAACGCTAACAGATGGCCAAGGCACTAACAAACACCTACAAAAACGCTACTGACCAGACTGGCNGCACCAAACGCTAACCAAACGCTCACAGACGGCCAAGACACTGACAACCACCTATAAAAACGCTACTGACCAGACTAGCTCCTAGTCGTTAACTATGTTAAATTTCATTTAACTATATGAAAAATGCAAGATTTGCTAAGATGTTGAAATCCCAGTTTAAAAACCCACGACTGGTCGAGACTGAAACAATTTTAGACTTTCAGACAGAAAGAAACACTGATTAGCATGTGAGTCCATGACTCAAGTATTACAATGCTTTTAAATCGGATCAAAAGTCTCCAATCACTTATAAACAAGAGACTCCATAACTCGTGACAAAGTGTTATCAACGATATTTTTAGATCAGATCAAAAGTCTCCAAGACCCATGAATTTCTGGGGACCATTTGCTTCATGTATGTTTGGATAGGGCATATTTGTTTTGCCAAGTTGTGACAAAATAGTATACAGAAACAATGTGGGGTTTTCCAAGGATGGGAAAACCTATGATTGCATACGGTAAATCCTTGAATTAGCGCCTGGGGGACGGGGGATGCTTATTTGAGAGAGGTGTTTAATCGAGGTGGGGGTCTTATTTAATTTTTCCCAAATCGTGGTCGGATAAGATCAGGTTTTTTGTAATGTATGTTAAAAAAAGCACAATGTGTCAGTTCCTCAGAAGTTTCAGAAGGATCCTGTTGTTCTTGAAGCACTACATTAACGTAATATAACCACTTGAGCTGGTCTAGGCCTGCTACACAAGGCTGGTTGGGCTTTAGGCAATAAATCAGCAGATCTTCATCACCATCCATCAGTCAATGTGTAATGCTTGAATGAGTTGATAATCACTTGCTTGTGATTGAGCATGAAACTGTATATCCTTTGTTGTCTCAGTACTCTTCCATAAGACAAGGGGAGGTGATGGGGGGGGGCAGCGCTTATTGGAGGGGAGGCACTTATTTTAAATTTTGGCCAATAGGAGGAGCACTTATTTGAGGGGAGGCACTAATTCAAGGATTGATGGTAATGTCAGAATAATAATCATATTATTATTTTGTTAGTGATACATGTAGCAAGCTTTTAAAATACTTTTAATAATAAGCAATTTTCTTACCAGCCTGGACATTTTGTTTTTAGATTGATGGATTTAAATGTGTGCCCGAGTGTCCTGGTTCATATTCGACACTTGAAATTCCTGGCAAAAGTAAGAAGTGTGTGAAGGTTTGTCCAGCTGGCTACAAAAAGGAGTCTGGAAGTTCCTTTTCTGGTCCAGGGAAGTGTGTCAGGTGCAAGGTAGAAAAGTGTCCAAGAGGTATGTTTACTCCCAAGAACTTGATGATGTATTAAATCATTTGCATTGACTAATAAAGGGGCTTCCTAATATTACTAATAACCACCTTCTAGGGATGACGATATTGGCTATTGTTTAGCCAACTGAGAAAAGATGATAACAGGTACATTGTACAAGGGGGGCTCAGTAAAGGGTAATACCTCCCTTGTGGGGTGGTGGCCCTTTGAGAGTGCTAAGAAATTACCTCTCTCCCACTCCCCAAAGTTTTGTGGTTCCTATTGTGTTAGTTCATTTTCATATACTAAGGGAAGTAAATTTTAAAAATTTAAGGTGGTTTAAATCCCATGAGTATTTTTTTAAACTTTGCCCATAGTTGCATCTTATCCTGCTAATCAAACTTCAATAATAAAAGTGGGTTCACTGTGCTTTTTTGGGGGTTATTAGCAGTTAAAGATAAAATTAAAGGTGTTTTAAGCAGGTTATACTGTTACTATGGTAATGTATTGTGTCACAAAAATGATGACACCATTTTTACCAATGATTGGGCAGTTTTTTGACACCATGATTGTAGCATCAACTGATAAAGAGTGGTTATAATAACCCATGAAATTCTAAGTCTTGGAAAGTGCTGGAAACTGTTTTGAATCACCTTAAGTTGACAAGATTCTCTTTCGATGATCACATTCTTACTTTGTCATACCCACCTGGTAGGAAAAGTCAAGAAGAGGCAGAAACAGTAGATTTGGGGGTTAAGTGCTTCTGCTTCCAATACAATGCTCAAAAACTCAATTACTGACGATATAAATATTATTGTTTTGATTTTTTGTTGCTGTATAGTTTGTAAGACCGTAGACAAATTAGCAGCCAGAATATCTGAGGATGAAAAGCCACCCATTGATTCAGTAGCATCCCTGAATGAGTACAAAGGCTGCACAGAAATCAAGGGAAACTTAATCATCAACATAAGAGGAAGCGGTGGCTCAGGTTTGTTAATTAAGGTCCACATTTTCCCTTAACTTTTTAAACTGTCCTATGCTACAATTAATAATAATAATAAAATTAATAAAAGGAGTGTTTATTGTGACAAAAACTAGAGCTAAGCTTTACAAAATGCTATAATATTTACATAANACATGTCAATTAAAATGGGTGTCACGAAGACCTTGAAAATTTCTCAGCAAAAACGCTTTGCCGATTGTTTCACTCAAGCATTATTTGAAGCAGCTGGAAAACATTAATTCAAGATTTGCAAAGATATCCTTAGTATTTTGTTTTGTCAAGCAGCTGTTAGTCCCCACATGAGCAAACCTTGACATGGTATTAAAATGTCACATAGCCCATAATTTGACGGTTTTCATCGGTTTACGTTGGGGATCTTAGTTTTCATAGCGTGAAAACTGAGATGAGGTCTTGGGTCTTAGGTCATAGTTTTAGAGGGTCTTAGCTTTCATGACACCCCAGTGAAAGCCACCTAATTGTAACGTATGTTTTTCAGATGGAGATGGAAATATTGACCTCCTGTTACCAGTATGTACCACTGACTACTGTGAAGAAAGTCACATTTATGTGTACTCTAGTGGTCAGGTACATGTTCATTTAATTAATATATACTACATAGCCTGTGTAGCTTGGCAGTTTAAGCAATTTTTTAAGCAATTTAAGTGCGAGCGCACAAAGCTTTTTAACAGTTCTACTCAGTGTACATATACTGTTGCAAAATTCTAATACCCAAAAATGTAAGAACCAGGGAACCTGCTTAGCCAAGCAAGGTCAAGCAGGTTCTTATATCTGGATAAATAGTTGAATTATGAACTCTTGTTATAGAGACAACACTACATATACATTCTGAAACCGGTTGTGTTAGGCTTATCATAATAGTAATATAATACAGTTGTGAATATATACTGTATATTAAGGCACCAAACCCATGTTTATTTATATTTCTGGTAATCAACAACTAGTATACATACATCTCTTTCACCCTAACCCTAACCCTAAGAACGTACCTAACCTAAATTGCCAATACCTACCCCAAAATACAAGAACCTCTTTTGCCAGACTTCAAAAACTATAGGTTCTTACATGCGGGTTTTTACTGTATCTCAGTCTACAGTGTGAGTGTTCAGAAGGAACATTTATTTTGTCCTTGAACTTTTCCCTCTCTACAGGTATACATGTAATTTATTTGTAAATAGCAACATTATTCATCAACCTTTAACTATTTATTCCAGTGGACTAAGATGTTATCCAATGATAAGAAGCCTACCACGTGGCAGTTTATTTCACCATCAAATCAGACTTCATCCTTGTTTCCACTAATGACCATCAGAACAGGTTTGTTACTGAACTTGACTGAACACTAACGCCCCCGCCCTGCAGAGCTGGAAGACAATGCTTTTACAAAGAAAATACGTCAAACTTATCGTATTCGTAATTGAAAAAAAAAAGATATTTCTTTCTTATTGAACAGGTGACTACAACATGGACACTTTCAGTGATGCGATTGTAGTGTTGAATGTCAGGGATCCAGGGTGAGATTCACATTAACAATAATTTTAATTCTGTGGTCAATTAAAAATCACACGAAAATGCATTTGATTTCTGTGCAATTTTTTTTATTTTTCAGTGTGCGTTATTTTTAATATGGGTTTCATGTGCAGTATACCATGTCATTACATAGTTTGCACAGCGCTTAAAACATCCTTGAATATTGAGCGAAAACTATGTTTCATCCATTTTGAATCAGTAATTTAATTGTGATGGAAGCTTGACTACTTTAATGGGCAAAAGTAATGCCAATAAAATTCAGCGAATAACAAAATATATTACAGGTAATTCTACAAGTGAATTAAGGTGTGTTCATTGTGGTCTACATGTTCACGTACACCTTCAATCAGGGACAAAAGTGTTGGGACAAATGTGCACTTTTGGCGCTTTTTCCCACACGCCAGGCGGGAATGTAACTTCACCTGCTAACCTCGCCCCCCACCCCCCATACAATGTTGAAAACTAGTACCTGCAATTTAACCTGATTTTCAACATTGTGTTGGGTGGGGAGGGGGGACAGCAACGCGTTTTTAAAGGATATAGCAGCGTTTTTTTCAAACTTTAGTTTTAAAACACAGATAATTCATTACATTACATATTAAGTGTCCCAAGGACTTTTGTCCACGATTGTTTATCATAATCAGTCTCTACATCCAGGTTGTTCATTTGTTCATCATGCTGTAAAAGTATCACAAGGGTATGTTATACATTGTTTTTCATGTTAAGAGTAAATTGTGATTTTTTGTTAGAGACAAACATTTCAAGAGAGTTGCAGCCTTATTGGAGAACATTCCATGCCCAAGTATGGATGAGCCCTGTTTCAATAGGCGCACCTTTGATGTTCAGTGGCAGGTGAATGTTCCTTGTGATCTGTGTTTTTTAATGAATCATTTATTGTTGACAACACCCAGATTTTGCCATACTTTCTTAATCTTGACTTACAAAACTGGGTTCCATTTAATTGGCGGTCCACTATGTCTGGTTTTCATGCGGTTCCTCTACCCTTGCAAATTGGAATTTGGAGTGTTGGTTTTTGTGGAGGGAGGAAAACAGAATACCAAAGAATACCTTGGAGTAATGCAAGAACCAACAACAAACGCAACCCACATATGGCAACAGGCCAGAATTGAACCCGGGTCACATTGGTGGGAGGTGAGCACTCTTACAACTGCGTCGTCCCTGCTCTTAAAAAAATGTGACTGATTCTCTGTAAATCAAAGGAATACTAATCACTCCACACCTTGAGGAAGCAAGCAGACAAATCTATTTCTGATAACCAAAGAAAGGCGTAGCACACTCTGGATTCCTCCAAATACTAAATTCCTCCTGACTACGTCAATAAGTTAATAAATTAGTTTATCTTTTCTTGTTTTGTTGATTTTGTCAATTTATTTATTTAATTCCGTGATCTTGAAGTATTGAAGACAGAAAATGAGATTGACAAAGTTGATGAAACGTATCGTTATTTAATATAAAAGGCCTTGAATAAACACCGAATCTATTAAACTGAGTTTTTAATCAATGACTGAGATGTTGAATAAAAAGTTGTATCAGTTTTCCCTTGCTTTCCTTGTTTTAGGAGTTGCCAAATTTAGAGCCAGCTGTATTAGCGACGTTTTTTGATCTGTACGAAAATGTAAGTACGTGTTTTACTTAAACAACATATATAATGGTTTATATAATACGTCAAATTGTTTTCGCATTTTGATTGGCTCTTACTTATAATCTTTATCTATTGGAGGACAGACGTGCAGATGACGTCAATAACATTTTTTGTCTCTCTATTACATAAAACAGAGATTCCATGTTGCCGTGTCTCTGTTCAGTAATAGATCACAGATGACGTCAATATGTGCTAAGAGCATCAGTGACACAGTCGCCTAGCGGCTTGTGTGCCAGGTTTCTCTTTTTGTTTCTTTTTTTGCAATACTACACTTTATTTTCAATTTCACAAAACTAAACTTCCTTATATCACAAGCATTACGTACAAATTACAATAACAATCATTATTGCTTACAATACTAACAATATAACAACTTTTTTAACACGATCTAATTCTAAATAACAACAATATCACTAATAAGGACAAAACTAAAAATGATACAACTAACAGATACAATACTACTACTGCTACTAATACATTATTCTAACAACTGACAAAAGTAAATATGCAATAAAAACAAAAGAGAAGGGAAGAGAAGCGAAAATAATATATTGGGCCATGAAATACTTAATTAAAACTGTTCAAATGAAAAGGAGAACCTAAATATCATTCCATTAAATTGCTTGTTTAAACAAAAGTTCAAAGGAGAGATCAGGGAATAAAATGACTGGAGTATTTTGTGCCACCTCTGTTGGAATGCGTTTTGTGTTCCCGTAATAATCGAAACGTGTTTTTCTATTTTTAAATTGCATCTAACCTGATTAACTTATTCCATTGAGAATGTTCAAACATTATTGTACTTACAGGAGTAAATGTAATATCTACCAAGTAGTCAACAATGA